TAAACAGCACTGTTGCAGCGGTACAGAAAATTCCCGAATCACGATCTGCTCTGCAATATGGCTGCGGAGAGGCTTTGAAATCAGAAAGAATGTTTATTAACAGTCAAAGCATAGCAGTCGTTAATTTAAAAAAGTAATGCCAATCAATATTCATGGTAAATGGTAAAAAATAGACAAAGTGTAGCCGCAGAACAACTTTTAACAACAGAAAGTCAAAAAGCAGTTGTTTCTTTATTTATTTTGTTATCCAGGCGTTGCAAAGGCGCCTGATACAATAAAGATAAATATAAACAAACCTTTAACATTGAGGAACAATCTGGCTTTGTAAGTAAATATTCGACAGCCGCAGTCACTCATCTAAATGTAAGAACAGCTATACAAAGCACGTAAACATCATTTTAAAGGGAATATCACACAGCGAATAAGTTCTGCATTAACAGTTCAAACCGACGACAGCTGACAAAGTGATACCTATGATTCGCTCAAAACAAGCAAAGTTGACATTGGTCACATCGACGTTCTTCCACAATCCATGATCTGTTACATGTTACATTTTCTTACGAAGGAAATCAACCCATATTTTACTTTGAAGTTCATTAACTTTTTTCCAGTGGATTAAATACTATATTGCTCATGCGCAATGTCGTCCAACTGTGTTTGGCTGCAAATAATATTCTGCCTTATGCGTGAACGAAACCACGCGTGATACGTTATTGCGTGAAAAAAGGCAGATCGCTTCTCTTCCTGAAGATATTCATTAAAAAACGAACTTGGTGATCCAATGATAAAACAATTATTGAACTCGGTTACCACAACATATCGTGATTTGCCAGTGTCTGGCACATAAATTATTTGCCTCAGCCTTCGACTTCGGCAAATAATTGATCTGCTCGCCACTGACAATTCACGGTATTTTGCTCAACCTCGTCCAATAATTGTTAATTATCTGGAAACATTTAACAGTCGTTGTGGCGTTGTCATGGCAACCGAGTTTTGACAACCATGTTTTTGACAGTTTGCTTGTTTCATATAAATACTGTTACTTGTTAAATTATAACATTTTACTTAATTTAACAATACAAAAATGATTTCACTTAACCCGCGTGCAGTAGATGGTAGACCAGTACGCGCTATTGTACTTGCAGCTATTAATTGAATGAAATTAATTGTTCGTCTAACGTTTCAGGGATTAAGTAAAATCAGTATTTAACGCTATAAAATTTATTATCTGTTAGAGTAATCCAGGCTTTTTACTGACTAATTTGCAAAAAGTAAAAGGACAAAAAACATGAATTTAAAATGACCAAATGGTAACCTGCGATCAGGCAATCCTTCTTCTCTTTTTGTTTCTCCGAAAAACAAAAGCCTGATTCGAAGGTTAACGAAATGGTAGATCTTGGGTTCAATTTTTACCAGAGTGTTTATTTCTCTCGGAATTTCACAACTTGCGGAATTTTTGCTTCCTAAGCATTTTTTTTGACACGATCAATTTTTCTATCACGATTACCTAGATATATACGGGTTTTAAGTAAAAGTGGATACCATTAATTAATTCAAAATGGTGGATTTAAGATGGCGAATGGTTCAAGATCGTTCTTTAATAATAAAAGACGCCATCATGACATCACTCATATTGTTAACAATTGATGAAATTTGGGTTTTTCAAAAACGTCGTCAATGTAAGGTCATAACGACGTTAAATTACGTCAGTGAGTCAATCACGTTATACCTACATGCAGTGAAATGATGGTTACATCATTCTGTGTAACTTTGGTGGCCGTCCCCCTACTCGCAGGAAGAAAAAGACAAAAAGCCCGGTCTGAATAGAGAGGAGAAATCGTTACGTCACGATGCCATGGTAGCAAAGTTTCTGGGACTCACTTAGGTTGAACCCGAAAGGACCGTATCTCGTTTAGAAGAAGAAAAAGAAAATTTTGTGCTATGTTCACCATCAACATCACCATCACAGGGTCCAGAGGAGATGTGTTTGACGTTAGAACATCAAAACCCGTCGAAAACCTCTGAAAAAATGGATTATTTTGATCGCGTTACAGTTTCTTTACACATCCTATATACCGCAAACCAAGAGACTGAGGGCTCGCAAGATCGGCTTACAGTATAAAATAGGGAGTTCTTTTTTTGCTCGGCATTTCGTGCAATCGTTTACAGAAGATTCATAGAGATCCCATTGGGCTAATTTTAAATAAGTAATTCATTTATTCACACGAAACTCCTCTGGCCCCTGGGACTCCATGAGGCGGGCACGTGAAATTACGAAGTTTCATGTGGCAGACTTGCAACAACGGCTAAGGAATGTACAAAAAGCGTGATCGGCACATGCAAAGTTGTTATTTTGCTAATATAAACCAATTGCTTTTTTGTCGTTCCCGTTGCCGTCGCCGTCGTCGTTTCTTAAACTTCCCATTGTAGTGATCCAGAAATGTTGTTACCATGGTAACGTGACGTCACACTTCTCCTCTCTATAGTGTTAACGTAACATCAAACGACAAATAGCAGGAAGGGGCACAACGCTAAACAACGAGCAGACCAATTTAACACTCAAATGCAGGACAAGACGGAGCAAAAAAAAGGTAACAGTCAAATACAACCCTAAACAGCGAGCGGACCAACGTAACAATCAAATACAGTGGAAGATAGTGAGCCCAATATTTATAAGCCTTATGGTTTCTTTTTGGGCTTCCACACCACATGGCATCCATGTATTAACTGTATTCTCGTCCACTAAAAAACCTAAACACAGTTTAAAACAATCAAACTTACCAACGTAACAGTCAAAGAGAGCATACGTCAGGGTTTCCTTCGACGTAACAATTAACACAGCACAAGTCAAGAAAGAACGCGAAGCCGGTATTAGCAATCAAAAGAAGTTATAACCAACACAAAAATTATGTATTCCAATAATTTATTTATCAAAATATAGTTTCATAACTTTAAGAAGCATAAATTAGTTCTGCTATAATGTTCTAAACTGATATAAGTGCCAAAGGGCTGATTATATGCATGAGCCGGGCAGGCTCGCTTTGCCAAGATCGTGGCTCGTTAATTAAACGCAACAAACTGAAATCAACTTTGTGATTGAGAAGACAACCCAGCTAGCCGCGGCATGGTTGGTTCGAATCCTGATATCGAGATGGCCTATTACAGGAGTAAAAATCTCCTCAGCAAAGCGAAAGCGAGTCAGCCCAGCAAACCGGTCAACCCTGCTCATGTAATCAACACTTTAATCTACAGCTCTTTAAGCTCCCTTAAGAAAACGTTTTATTTTTTAATCTTTAGGGCCTGTTTAAATAGAGGTGGGTACCCCAGGTAGGTGAGAACATCCCTGGCGGGTCACCCCACCTATCATGTAAACGCAAGAGAGAAGCTTTATCCTCTCTTGGGAAACGTGATCAAATTAAAATGAGAGATTCTATAAAGGCGGGTTACCCCACCTAAGTGGGTAACCTCACCTACCTGGGGTCCCCCACCTCCATGTAAACAGGCCCTTAATACCACGGGTTTTGAGCCTCCCTGGGGCAAATGATAGTTTCGTAAATAGTAAGGTTTGAGAAATGGGAAAAAACACCAAGAGTTAGTTCGAATTATCCAGGGCATAGCTTGAAATTTTCCAGAGGTAGGCAAGATTTTTCAAATCATCCCTTCGGACCCGTTTCCTAAATCATTTTTACGCGGTTAACTGGATCAAATTTCCTTAATTTTTTCCATATCATGAGGTAAAATACATCTGATGGGGTCAAATCATCTTTCTTGTTCTTAGGACCACGTTCTCCTGGCAGAAGGTAAGGCTTTCGCCTGCCGGGCATTTTCGTTTCGTATTCGTTTGCAGTTGGGCACATTCCCTCTGGGCAGGCCTGTTTCCAGAAAAGCTGGTAAAAAATACTAAAGAAAGTTTAACCTGCGAGTTTCTACTCAGAAGGTTGAGGACGTAATTCTTCCAACGAATGCCATCTTCAAGAATTATTTTGGTAGTTTATCAAACACGAGACAGAGTGTTTCTTTGTAAAATGAAACACTGAGAACAGAGTTGAAAGAGGCGCAGCGGAGTATTTTTTACCAACTTCGATGTTTTTGATACAGTTTTCTCATGAAATACTGTGTCCGATGCTTGACCAATAAAATGACTGGAGAAATTAAGCATGCAAATATGAGAAGTTTTTCATCTGATTAACAAGCACTCATTAACATGAATCTCCTTTGGTTTTGTAAATCATTTATGATAATTAAATACGCTTATCGCAACGTTAAATTTTCATCTTGAAAGCATACCCCTGTTACCCGTCACTTTAAGGACATGAAGGGATGATTATTCTGGTAAATAATGTTTGTACAGCAGTTTTTCATCCGTCGAGTGTTATTTTTGTGTATTCTCGCTATGTTTTTTTGAGGCATGTGGTTCGGCAATTTCGACTCGCATTACTGACGTGGGGAAGTTTTCGTCATTTTCTGCAGCTCTCCTTTGCCAAAACAGCTAAGCCACCACGCCACTAATTTGCGTGACGTTTGTGTGACCTCGTCGGTCTGATATTTTAGTATTGACGTCAATCGTAAGCTCAAAGCAAACATAATTCAAGTTGGTCAACACCTATGAAGAATTAGCCGTGGGATTTACACCAAGCAGAAACAGAGAAATATTACGAATTAAAAAAAAACCTAAAGTAAAGGGTTACACGAGTTAAAGTTCCAAAAATGTTGCAAAGCTTGTTGTATATGCTTACATAACAAACCTTGCTCAGAATAAAACTTGGGAGTGTAGATAAAAGGCCTTAGCAAGGCATCTTCTACGAGCCTTCATTTAAAACAAAAGTACCTTTAAAAATATTCCACTGTTTACTTTGGAACACGGAATAACGGTAAATTCTGCATTAAAAATATTTTAGCCAAGGTCAATCATCAAACTTAAGGGGGAAACATTTTACCTCTAACGGCTAAAATGAGAACAACAAAATAACATAGTATGCAAGAATGGTGTAAAGGAAATCAAGTTGATGGCCAATACGTCGACTTAAAGAACTAATGGAAGACGAGTTCAACTCGTATTAGAGCCATTAACGAAACCTTTCCCAATTAATTTCCGTTGAACTAACCTTGCACATTACGTTATTTTTAAGTTCCACGCCTTACGTGACATCTAGTGTATGTATCGCTTTTCGAGAAAGATCCCGAAATAAACCTAATCATCCTAGCGTTAGGAAAGCTGTCACATCAATGTCAGACTTCCAGTCTTTGATGGGCAACATGGCACCTGATGCTGTCCTTGTTAGCCCATGTCTAAGCTTTCAGCTAAATTAGAACAGAGAGGGCTTTCCAGCTACTTCGCCTACGGCAATGGCCACCGTCAGTCAAAGATGGTTGCTAGGCAACCTTTTGACAGCATGTCAATTTTAGGGTGACCCTGGAACATCTCCCCCATTCTCTGAGATAGATCCATTGCTAGGGAAGGTAGGTAATCTCCTCTGATTGCCTGCGTTTAGAATTCTCATTGCTGCTCTCCTCCGCTCCATTTCCAGGCGTTTATAGGAAGGCTTAAACGTACAAATTAGGAGAATTGCCATAGCAGCCGCTGCTGACGTCATAAAGTACATGGCCCTTTCAAAGTCTGGGACTTTATCGTCCTTAGCTTTCCCATGACATTTGTGGTCTTTAAAACGTCTTGGAACTTCTAACAATTGGCAAAGTAAGATGAAAACGATACCGGTGGCTTGACTGAAAAAGAAAAAACATAAAAAAAGGATCATAACTCTGTTATTCCACAAACATATTGTAAATCTTAGCAACATCTCTTTGCTTGAAGTTCAGCAGAAGTTCTTCAATTGAGAATCGCGGGAGAGAAAGGGTCTTCAACAAGTGGCGAGCGAGGCAAATCGCGAGAATCAAGAGCATACACACACTGCATTAGTGACGTCAGGCACTTAGTTCTCTTATCCAAATCAAGTAATTCCATTTATGTGCAAAATAGAACTGGTTTTACTTTTTGCTCGAAAACAACGAAAATAGTGGACTTAGGTACCGTAAATGACCTTATAGACACTCCAGGGTCTTCAGTGGCGGATCCAGGGAAGGAACCTGCCCCCCCTTATATTTAGACCAAACTGAGGCCTGAAGGGCAATAAAAAATTTTTTTTTCAGACCGCCCCCCTTCCCTTATCCCTTATCTCATGGCCTCTGAGTCAATAGCCTAAATGGCTATTGACTCAGAGCCCATTCGGGCTCGAGGAATAATTCTTAATTATGCCTGGGATTTTAGCCAGTCAGAAACCGGAAATTATTCTGAATGAATAATAAGATCGATTACATCATAGTTATTAATTAGTTGAATAAAAAGCCTTCGTTGATTGCTTGGAGATTTAGAGTGTCCGTTTCCAAAGCTAATTTTTTTTTGTAGATTTTGCCTGCTTTCCCTGTTGCCTTAATGTAGGAAAAGAACTGACTGCTAACTACATCGTACACAACATACCCAGCCATCCACTGTAGGCCTGCACTTGTTGCTTCAGCCACAGGATAGGTACACTCCACCCCGACTTCCAAACAGACGGGCATAAGAGCGAACGCAAAGAAACCAAATAAACCGCAGCTAACAACAATAAGAACAGGCTGATGAGGCATCCTTGCTACCTGATAACAAACAGAGATATTTATAGTTAGCTTGCAAGGACTCTGGAGAAGAGAGGAACAGTGGAACCCGGTTAATACGGACAACCAGAGGACATGCAATAATGTCCGTATTATCTGGGTGTCCGTGTTAAGTGGGCTCTTAGAAAAAAAGTCTAAAAAAAGTCTAAACATTTGTCTGTAATTTTAACAAGTTCAATCTTAAGAAATCTTACTATCATTTATCAGTTTCAGAGTAAAACTAGCCTTCAAGTATTCTTGTCTTGAAATACAACGATGAAATCCATAACTTTACTTTATACTGACGCTTTTAGCTTGCAACTCAGGCCAGGAGGACTGAACATTAGACAGAATGTTTAAAAGGTAATTCGCTGTTTCTGCTAGGTTTTCATTGATAAGATATTCGGTAAAAAGAGAGCTTATATTTTGAGACGAGGACGAAGATGCTCATACGTGAACTAGCCTCATTTTGCCGGGAAAACGTGATAGCCGTCGTCATTCTACTACGAGTTTACGCGAGAATGTCGTAGTGGCGGGAAAATTTTATCAAATGTAAGAAATTTTATCATTTTGCTATCGAGAGAAGGCTTAACCCCCTTCAGTATAAATAACCGTACTAATTTTTTTGTGACAAAAAAAGGAAAAATTTCATGAAGCTTTCCGGGGAGTCTCTTTTTTTGACAACACGCGCAAAAACTTTAAATGTAATGTCGTACCTGTACTCGTTGTTGTCGTCAAATCTAAAGCTCTCTAAAGACATTGTGCTGATAACCAATGTCCGTAAAGCGAGGCTGACGATTTATGACATGTGACTCGGGACATAGAATAGTGTCCGTTGTCCGTATTAAGTAGTGTTCTTACTTTAAAAGCGGGTTAATTTTCGATAAAATGTATGAGCATTTCGTCGGAACAAACGAAACTGGCCGTTTTATATGGGGAGCCGTAGGGCAGGGTTCCACTGTGCTATGGAAGCTATCCCTGCGACAACTCTCGTAAACCACCACTGCAAGTTGGGACCAGCGGCATTGTAAAAGCTAGCCTGCGTAACGAACGTTTCTGAGGAGCTCTTACTACGCAGGCTATTGTGAAACCCCATTTGAACTATCCCTTCAAACTCTTTGACGAAGAGCTCTCGTAAGCGAACGCGACCACGATTCTTAGTACCAGTGAGTCCTTTCCTTTGTCTTGAGGCTCTTGGGGTAAGAAGAGGACGACTATGAGAACGAGATTTCCTCAATACTAACTAGTGCGCGCGTGTGAACTAGCGTTATTTTAGGGGGGAAAAGTGATAGTTGTCATCAATCTACCACGAGTTTCAGCGAAAATGTCGACGTGGCGGAAACAAGTTACCGTAAACTTCCGAAAATAAGCCCCGGGGCCACTCAGTTCCAGACCTCCTGTCTTCCCCCCGGGAAGACAGGAGGTCTGGAACTGGAAGCCTTTTTGAGGGGCTATTTTTGGAGGGGCTTATCTATGAAGGGAAATTTGCGTTTCAAAATCGATTGGGCTAGCCTCATAGTTGGAGGGAAATTTACCGTTTTTGCTTTGTTTTACCTTGTATTTGAGGGCAATTTCCAAGTACAAACTCCCGGGGGGCTTGTATTTGGAGGGGCGATTTAACAGAGGGTTTTTGCGTTACGAGTTTGGGGGGCTTTTATTTTGAGGGGCTTATACATGGAGGGGCTTATTTTTTTGAATTTTACGGTATCAACCATCCCTGGTTTTGTCCAAAATTGAGACATCGGTGAGTTTTTCACCAGGAGACTTCACATTTCAAGCGAAAAATCAGGGATTATGCTATATTACTCAAACTTACAACAGCAAAAAGGGCACATGATACTGCTGCTAGACCATATGCAACTTTGGCGGTTTCCTCAAACTTCTTGGTCTTGTCAATATACACACCAGCTAAACCTCCCCCTAACAGACCAACAGCTATTAACACTGCTCCCGCTATGCCTGCCATTTCCTGAAAGAATGAGCAGTAATAAAATATCATTAACTATCTAATGATTCACTCTGGCCAATATTAGGAAAGACGTCAAGCTATTGTAACAGCCAGGAACGACTTCTTCCAGGGGGACAGGGTGGAAGGGATGGGTGAGTGGGTGAGTGGGGATGTGAACGACTACTCCCAGGGGGACAGGATGGAAGGGATGGGCGAGTAGGTGAGTGGGGATGTGAACGACTACTCCCAGGGGGACCGGGTGGAAGGGATGGGTGAGTAGGTTGGTGGGGATGTGAACGACTACTCCCAGGGGGACCGGGTGGAAGGGATGGGCGAGTAGGTGAGTGGGGCTGTGAACGACTACACCCAGGGGAACCGGGTGGAAGGGATGGGTGAGTAGGTGAGTGGGGATGTGAACGACTACTCCCAGGGGGACCGGGTGGAAGGGATGGGTGAGTAGGTTGGTGGGGATGTGAACGACTACTCCCAGGGGGACCGGGTGGAAGGGATGGGCGAGTAGGTGAAGTAGGTTGGTGGGATTGTGCATGGCTAATCCCAGGGGGACTGGGTGGAAGGGATTGACGAGTAGGTGAGTTGGGATGGGAACCACTACACCCAGGGGAACGGGGTGGAAGGGATGGGTGAGTAGGTTGTTGGGGTTGTGAACGACTACTCCCAGGGGACTGGGTGGAAGGGATGGGTGAGTAGGTGAGTGGGGATGTGAAGGACTACTCCCAGGGGGACCGGGTGGAAGGGATGGGTGAGTAGGTGAGTGGGGATGTGAATGACTACACCCAGGGGGACCGGGTGGAAGGGATGGGTGAGTAGGTTGGTGGGGATGTGAACGACTACTCCCAGGGGGACCGGGTGGAAGGGATGGGTGAGTGGGGGTGTGACGCTGAGACCCTTGAACCCTTAGCTTATACCACACCTAGTATTCAGCTGAATGTTGCTACCCTATACAAGACTAAGCTCCTGTCACCGGGGAGGTCATTAAGAGCCGGGGGCCAGGGATTTCCCCCCGGCTACAATGAGTGTGGCTCCTGGCTCCTTTTATTGGAAAATAAAAGAAATCTGGAATCAAAAGACATCCCTAGCTGTTCGATTCCCCACCTACATGTACTGTTGTCTTTACACAACAACTTGAAATTTTAGTGACAACCCTGAGTCACCACTCACCATCCTAGAGTCGCTATATTTAATAAGGTCATCTACTCACAATTTTTTTGGCTATTAAACTGAGATGCGGGTAAATTTAAATTTTCCAATTACATTTTTTGAGTGTCAATTCCCGATTTTCTGAGTCCAGACTAAAATCTTCAACCAATAACTGACTGATCGATTGTTAAGCAGTTTCCTGGAAAATGATACCCTTTTCTAGACCAAGTTTCTCTAATTTCTATAACCTATCCCAGACTTAACTACTTGAAAATAATGTAAACCTATGCACAAAAAAGCACATACCTATTACAATAATTTATATAGCCCATAATGACAGTAACCCCCTGTCCCCCGCCCAAGCCTACTTCACAGAAAGACTGGTCAGGTGCTGTCTTGATGAGTATGTACCCACCTTCCTTTTATCAAAAGAAAGACTTGTCATTTGCATAGCCATACATATTACAGGTGGGTTCTTATGTTTTTGATTAAGAAATAAAACCTGTTTTGCCAGCCAGAAAAAAACCTGATGCCAACATGTTTAATCTGTAGAAACGTACATCATTATAGCCCCATGGACAAATGACCTGCTCCAGGAGGGTTGTTAGGGATGTAAAAAGACCAATCCCACTACCAAATGCAATCATCAACACCAGGTATGCCTTGTTTTGTAAAATCTGAAAAGTTGAGTTCAACAAATTTGACAATAAGAAGTAATTATTAACTAGTAGTAATCAAGGGTTACCGAGTGTGGGCAAGAATGATTGAAGGTTAAAACGCTTTTGTTCAAACGCTGTTCTTTGCATAAGATAGATGGTCAAAACATGTGTGATTAAACTACAAGTGATAGAAGGTCCAAATGCGCATGATCAGATTACCTACGATACATTCCATTCATTTTTTGTCGAAGTCCAAGTAAAGCTGGCTACTCACTGTATATACATGCTGTGTATGTGTAATAGCAACCTGAAGATTAGGATTGTGGGTTCCTCTTGTCACCCGCAATAATGACATTGAAATTTAATAATTAATTAATATGTTTATGTCAGCAAAAGTTATCAGTTTTAAAAAATACAATGGAGTCATGTCGTTATGAAAATTACAATCATCTAAGAAGGTCACTGTCGTTGTCCATGAACACTTTTTTCTACAAGAAGAGTCCTTTAGATAATGGGTCAGTATTGCAGAAGTCTTTGTCTGTGAACATTCACAAAGTGAAGCTACAAATGAAGCTAGGTAAGATTGCCTTCAGAAGAATATCAGGAGTATTTAAGTTGTCATCCACCCACCTTTTTAAGTCCTGTGAAGAAAGGCTCTGACTTTGATTCTGCTGAAGCTGTTGGAGGGGTGGGTGGGGAACTGCTGCACACTCCCAGAGTTGCCATGGCAACACCAAGAAAGGCAGGAACAGAGAACATTTTTAACTAAGGAAATATATTGAGCATAAAATTAATGATAATAACACCCACACAATATCGTAATTATAAGCAAATTATGTTAGCATTACATTTATATTGACAGGCAACAACAATTCTGGGACGGGATATCATGCCGTGACTTAAGACTGTTTTCACATTACTTCAAATTTCTTGGAACAAAATTTATGAAAGTCTCAATATGAGAAAACAGTTTAATCCCCACAGGGTATTTTTGGTACACAGACATGGCTGCCATTTAGTTGTTTTGGTACACTATTAACTGGTCACTATGACGACAAGTGATTTTAATAACGATCTTCACACAGTGTTAAGACAGACTGGACAAACTTATTCTTAGCAGTGTGAAGTAAAGTTGGAGTTGATGTGACAACATTAAAGCAACTGTGAAAGAGCCTACCACGAAAGGTATGTCGTTGTTATGTTTAACAAGAACTGGGCCTAGCACATTAGCCACCATAACACCTACAGGATTACCTGAAGACCAAAGTGAAAAAATTCATCAAACAAACATTTAAAAACTTGGAACTTCATCTGATCCATAGAAAAGGCAATCTCAGAATTTCTAGCTTGATCATTTGCTTGCGGGTCACTTGACATACCATATTTCCTTGAAATATGACAGTTGGGGTTGATTATTACATGTATTCTTTTCGCACAGAAAGGGGCGATTATTTGAGGGAGGCGATTATTTTAAGTAGTGCTCACTGGAATTTGCGCCCTAAATATTTTGTTTTATTATCCCATTTAACCAAAAAATGATCACATCAAAATAACTCAACATGGGCTTTCTATAAAGTGTTCCAAATTTGGTGCCTTTTTTAATTTTCAGTGTCAATATTCTTGGCATCAGAGCATGAATCATCACTGATCAGTTTTGCTGGATGAGACTCCACTTCAACTTGACAGGGAGGGGATAAAAGAAAGAGATGGCGAGAGGGGTGGGGGTGGGATTATTTGAGGGAGGCAATTATTTTCAATATTTCCATTAGCTCACTTAATGAAGCTATCATGTTTGCGGTAGCTCTTTCATCTGCTCCAAACCACACAGCAGCCAGCTTAGTTGGGGAACCAAGAAGAAAAGGTTGTGCTAATGCTGCAGAGGTTTGACCAATCATCACTACAACAAATCTGGAGTTCGTAGGGACAAACTTAGTTCCACTTAATATTCTGACTGCTGCTCCCACAGCATTAAGCCAGGCACCTAAAAGAATCTAAATAGACAGAAAAAGGTTCTGTAAGCTAAATGGACCAACATGTTAACATTTGGACAAAAAAAAAACCTTGTGTGCATGTATGCTCATAGGGCTGTGCTCATGTTCTCTAGCAGTGCCCAGTGGCACCTCAATTTTGCTTTTGGACAATTTTCTTTTCATAGAAATCTTATACTGGGCATCCTGAATTTCACAGGTTTAAGCACTGGGCTCACTTCAATTTTTCTTAGAGCACAGCCTTGATGCTGTTGTAAACTGCCCATTCAGCTCACTTTGTTTCTTTTAAAGGCGAAAATACACTGGAACCTGGGTATAAGTATGAAGGGCGGCAAAATAGCTATGAGGATTTGTTATATCAAGGTTCTTTTTCATTTTTATTATTACTGGGGTAAAAAACATCATTCATCAGACTGAGGACTTCATTATANAGCTCACTTAATGAAGCTATCATGTTTGCGGTAGCTCTTTCATCTGCTCCAAACCACACAGCAGCCAGCTTAGTTGGGGAACCAAGAAGAAAAGGTTGTGCTAATGCTGCAGAGGTTTGACCAATCATCACTACAACAAATCTGGAGTTCGTAGGGACAAACTTAGTTCCACTTAATATTCTGACTGCTGCTCCCACAGCATTAAGCCAGGCACCTAAAAGAATCTAAATAGACAGAAAAAGGTTCTGTAAGCTAAATGGACCAACATGTTAACATTTGGACAAAAAAAAAACCTTGTGTGCATGTATGCTCATAGGGCTGTGCTCATGTTCTCTAGCAGTGCCCAGTGGCACCTCAATTTTGCTTTTGGACAATTTTCTTTTCATAGAAATCTTATACTGGGCATCCTGAATTTCACAGGTTTAAGCACTGGGCTCACTTCAATTTTTCTTAGAGCACAGCCTTGATGCTGTTGTAAACTGCCCATTCAGCTCACTTTGTTTCTTTTAAAGGCGAAAATACACTGGAACCTGGGTATAAGTATGAAGGGCGGCAAAATAGCTATGAGGATTTGTTATATCAAGGTTCTTTTTCATTTTTATTATTACTGGGGTAAAAAACATCATTCATCAGACTGAGGACTTCATTATAATACAATACTTTATTTCAAAAAAGCAAGCATTGTTACAAACAAGTGCAGTTATTAAGAAAAGGAACCCCAGAGGTCAACCGGCCTATATTAAGGATCTCCTATATGTATAGAGGTTTGTTATATTGAGGTACCACAACTGTAATAAAAGTTTTTGATCACCCAAATGAGCTACATGTATCCACTGGAAAGATAAGAATCATAAAATGCTTTATTAAAAATCAGTTGAAACAAAGGAAATGTATATCTGACACTAAAAGCAAAATCCTCACCCCTGTTCGTAATCCAAGAACATCCAGAATCCACATGGTCACCAAGCCGAACAACAAATAGCAAACAAGATAAACAATGGAAAGCCAGTTGATATCATTAACAGATTTCTGGTAATATCCAGCCGTGTAATCAGCGATTGGAGCAAATGACAACCATAGCTATGTGATAAAACATGATAATTTTTATAGTAAGTTATACATTTAAAACAGAGGTGCCACCCTTGGGAGATCTAAACTCTGAGATTGTCTTTTAAGCAGTTCCCACCAAAACCAGAAACACCCGGCCCCTACCCCTGCTGCAAAAATAAACACAAATCAACACAGGGTGTGGCTCAGGACATTCTGTGAGATCTGACATGAAGTAAAGACCATCAGTTGAGAGAGCACAGGTCTGCTGATTGGGAGGTCGCGGGTTCATAA